TGAGATTAAAAGGACTACCAGGTACATAAAGAACTGAATCTAAAGGTAAGGAAGGAAGTGGGCTTGCTTAACCTATTCCAGTTGCCACGGTTTGAGACATGTTGGCCATTGTGACTGTTAGAAGAGATTGAGAACATGAAATAGTAGTGACGTGAGATTTGTTACGAGAAATGTGATCAGATGCACCCGAATCAATGACTCAAGGCTCAGAGGATGAAGATTGGGAGACACAAGTCACGCTATTACGTGTTTAAACAAGGGAAGCTATCTCTGAATATGTATGTTTACATGCTTTGTAGTGAAGGAACTCAATATAGTCTGGTAAAGAAACCATCCAACTATTCATAGTATTGGATCCCATTTTTCTACAACCAATTTCTCAAATTCATGACTAAAAGTTGTATGGTTAACCTTGAAATGCCAAATCAGAAAACTCTTTTTTTTTTTTTTTTTGAGAAAGCACGGTTCACTCGCCAGAAAATAAAAAGGTTGTCGAAATTTGATGAAACTTGAACAGACAGACTTGGAATAACCTCTTGAGTAATCTGTCCAAAAGAAGCTTCGTCGGAAAAATCATTGTAGCCTCCGGAAAGTCAGTGTAGTTGCCGGAAAAATCTCAAAGTGATCAAAATAAAAAGAAAAAGGTATGGGTAGGCTCGGAATTCCTAGGCGACCAGACTGTTCAATAGAAATTTTTTCAAAATCTGGCCGGAATAGGCCTCACGCGCCGGTGCGTGGGTCAGATCTCGCCCGAAAATTTCTCATTTCTCCGGCGCGTGAGGGCCATTGGAAGATGTTTTCCGGTGGGTTGACTGGGGTTTGGTTGCCTGAGCCCGATTGCACAGCACCAATCGAAAGTGACTTTGTTGCGCACAACCTCTTTAAGTCGCCGGAAAATTGAACGGCGACGAGGTCTTTCTTCCCAAAGTCGTTGGAATGATGCACATCGATAAGTTTCTCATTAATGCTCTAATACCATGCGAGAATGCACGGGAGAAAAATATATTATTGATATTCTATTAAGTGTTTTTTGATAGCCCTATTTATAACTATATACAATACATATTCTACTCCTATTACATGTGGGACTAGATTTATTTTCATAACTATCTAACAAAAGCAATCATACAGTAATTAAGTGGAGATCACGTCACCTCTGCAGAATAAGAGCAAATCATCTGCAATACTTAGTTGTAGTATGTTCAACTTCTCACAGCTAGGATGATAGTTGAAATCTGGCCTATCCAGTGTTGTGAAGAGCGTGAAGCGAGGAAAAGCGACAACCCCCTTTTCGCTTAAAGCGAGAAGTGAAGCGCTTGCTTTTTTTTGAAGTGAAGCGGAATTTTAAAAAAAATACTAAAAAAAATACTGAAGGGAAGGGCAATAAGAACTAAGAATAAAGAATATAAAAATAAGAGGAAGGGCAGTATACCATTCCAGTGAAAAATGGGCAGCATTTCAAACGAAGAACCATTAGACACTTGATGTATTGTGGTACACAGTCATACTCTACCACCTCATCAAATTCCCAGTTTGATCCTGCACTCTAATGCTTTTAGGCAACTCCTTCGTAATGTCCATTTCGATGAGCACTCTGGCATAGGAAATCAGCAGACCACGATTTCAGGATTACTGGCCTATTATTTATGGTGTGTGGCCCTAAGTAAAGTACCTCATTTTTGTCCTCCATGGTATTGAAAAGTATGTCAAAATACCCCTCATTATGATAATACCCCTTTGGTTTAGCAGCGAAATTCCATTGTGAGGCTATGAATCTCTCCATGGCACCAATTGGTGGAGATTCTCCAATTACATATGGAGTAATAGCCTTTTTCCATTTCTCATTCTCAATCTCCATTTCATCCTGTTTCAATTGTACCTTCCTGATTCCATCCTGAATCAAAGAGGGAATAAATACTAGGTCCATTCCCCTTGCCGCCATCCTGTTACCAGAGAACAATTTTGCCCATGTTTTCTCTCCGTTCCCATCGATCGGTTCTACCTTTTTCTGAGGTACTGGAATGGCATCACGTTGTTTCTTCTCTCTCTGCCCTTCATTTACAACTATTTTGCTTGCGCTGGATTTAGCCTCTTGAGTGAAAGCTCCACGCATCTCCCGATCCTCACCATTTGAAACAACCGTTCTCGCTACAGTAGAATTTTCTGGGCTTACTACTCCAGTCGTCATACCAGCTGACTTAGGTGTTGAATTCAGCGTACTAGTACTCAGGTTTCGTGAATTGTGTGGTGAATTCAACTCTGGAGCACTTACTCCTCCAGAGTTGGGGTTATCGAGCCTTTCTCCTTTTCACAAATTAGGGTTTCATTTTGCGGTGATACCCTTCCCATTCCCCCACTTCTTAAATAAGTACATAGTGACTAACATTGTAAAATGATCCCTCCCTGCCCCTTACCTACCAAACAAATAAAAGATAAAGAGGGAAAATACCAACCCTAGCTGATTTGGGATTTAATGCATGATTGGTGATTCACTGATGTTTTATCTTTGGGGAGGGGGTAGGGAAGAGGGGAGTGGATCCCGCTATGTTATGAGCTTCTTAAAATGTGCAGTATGTGAGCTTACGAAGTTTGCGCGCATGTCTGTATTTGCATTGACCGCTACCGTATGCTATTCAGGGTGTTAGTTTTCTGATTTGGCAGGCTGTGCATGTCATCAACTCATCATCATCTACTTGTTTTGGTTGAATATAGTTTATTCCTTAAGAAATTGTTGAGTCCTTCAATAATCAAGCTGCTGGATTTTTTATCATCTTACTGAAAGACTACATCTTTGCTCGTCAATTTGCCTTACATCTGGAACCACGTTCGCACTGCTCATTATATGTGGCCTGTTGTGGTTGATTATCAGATTGTCTGTGCTAAAGTTAGGGAAGGTGATCAACGAATTGTACGGATTAAGGAGGGAGATCCTGCCGGACGTCATGTGGTGATAGTGGATGATCTTGTACAATCAGGTGGCACCCTAACAGAATGCCAGGTGAGAAAGCTAATGGTGCTGACTGCTGGTTACATCTGAACAAATTTACTTCCCCTCGCATTAAGTTATGAAATCCTAGCATTTAAAAGGTAGAACTGAAACAAAGTGCAGAAAGTACCATTCTTGGGTCCATGAATTCAAGGTACTGCTTTATAGTTGTTAGTTCTGTATGCTCTAAAACTGGAGAAACTCATTTAGATTTCTTTTTTTTCCTTGTTGAAGGGTTGTCTTCTCAACGAGAAAATTATGAAATGTGGACAGGGTCATAGTAGCACATGTATCTTCTTAACAACCCTGATTGTTAGTATCCACATTTTTAAAAATACTTAGATGCAGAGTAGAAGTATAAAATATTTGACCATGCTGTATTGAGTTGACATACTTGAATATTGAAATATACTTTTTCTCTTTTGTTATTTAAAGTAGCAAAACTATTCTCTGCCTTTTTGCAGAAAGTGTTGGCTAGACATGGAGCTCAAAAAATAAGTGCTTATGTGACCCACGGAATTTTTCCAAACAGATCATGGCAGCGTTTTAACCACGACAAAGGAGGTAGGCATGTGTTCTCGGGTTCTTATATTAGTAGCAATAATTTCCTTCTATAAGATTGCTTCTGCCAAAATGTCAAAGCCCTTAAAATCCTTGCAGAAGGCTCGAGTGTGTGGCATCACGTTTGAGATCTCTTCTGATTTATTAGACTTTCATGTACCCTTGTTGGGAAAAAATCCTATATCTTTTAACAGGTTTTTCCCTAAACAATGCTAAATTACCATGCTTTAATGTGCTTCTTTTCAAAATCTTCCTCTACTGTTCTTTTGGGCGAGTGGTGGCCTTTTCTGTTTAAATTGTGCATTGCCTCTATCCATTTCATGAAAAATTTCTTGTATAGTTGTTTCATCTTTCCTTGAGCCGAGGGTCTATCGGAAACAACCTCTCTACCTTCACAAGGTGGGGATAAAGTCTGCGTACACAGTACCCTCCCCAGACCCCACTTGTGGGAATATAATGGGTTTGTTGTTGTTAGATTGGACAAATTATGTACTAATAAAATTTGGCAACTGTAGTAGATGTTATTCAGCAATACAACACATTCAGGCACCATGTGTGTTTGCAGCATGATCTTTTCTCTTTGTTGGTTGAAATTTCGTCTGCATTTAGCAAATTAATATTAAAAGTTGTTAGCATATCTAGAAGTTTTAAAATTCTCAATGAAATGCACAACTGCACTCTGAATGTCTGTCTTGAGTTTTGGTCTATCCTCCTTTTGATTTTTCTCATCCGTGTTTACCTTTTAACTTTTTCAGGTAGTCCGGAGAGTGGGATGACTTACTTCTGGATCACAGATTCATGCCCTCGAACAGTGAAGGAGGTGAAAGACAGAAAGCCATTTGAGGTTCTGAGCCTCGCCGCTCCCATAGCAGCTGCACTTCAGATTTAATTGCAGATCCTCCTAAGCTGTTGTTTCATTCTTTATATTCACCTTTGATTCAAGATGTATAGAGAAAGCAAGGAGAAGCGAGCTCTTCCAGGCAGCACTACCGCAATAACTGGTGCTACTCAAGTGTGTCAACTAGGAATTTTGATTAGACACAACTTTTTTAGTTAATCTACTTCTCAAAAAGGCACACTTCGATTGTAGCATAACTAAGATGTTTCTACTCTTTCAAAGTATGTACCTCGAGAAATGGATCCTTTCTTTCTCATATAATTGCTTTCTTGCATGATATGCAGTTATTTCTAGCCGTCAACACGTGTTGCGACTTTCGAATTGGGGAGGAAGTCCAGTCATGCAACAATTTTGTCAGTGGATCATTTGTTGGCATATTGCATGTGCTTACCATGACATTTTCATGGTACTTGAATCTTTACTCTTTAATTACCTAATTTCTAGGTTATCTTTTGCAAACTTACCATCTATACCTCCTCTTTTCTATTCGTTCTTGTTCAAACCTGCAGATTTTCAGACCATTTAAGTACTCGTACATGAATAAGCTAATAGTAATACTGACAATAAGTTCATAACTAAATATCAGAACAGTTCTTTAGATCAGTTCTCAAGTCCTCTACGGAAGAGACCTTTTCAAGTAGGGAAAAAGGGGGAACAGTATAAGAGAAGCCTGCCTAAGCAAAATTGAAACAGTGAAAATCTTTCGGACATGTACAACAGATTTAAATGACAAAAGATAAAGAAAACAATTCTGAATTTCAACTTCCATCATCTGTACATGCATATGGACATAAACCCATTACACATTTGCTGGGATAATGGCTGGCCTAGACGAGGAAGGAGAAAATCCAACATGCCTCAACTATGATACCACTTTGTTAGATGTCTTGATGTAATTCAGGAATCTTGTCAAGGCCTTGCCACTATCAATGGCTTCTCTGGCTCTATCAAAAGCTGCACTTATGTCTTGAGCTCCATCAGACCCAAGCAAATGATCGATCATACCAGCATTTAAGACAATTCTATCGTATGCTGGACCCTTCTCTCCACGTAAAGCTGCTAAACCCAACTCTATATTCTTTGCAACCTAAAGAAATTTAGGAAGGAACAGAGGTTTAATCATCTTGATTTACATTACCACCAGAAGGACAAAGCTCGAAGAATAGGCTGGAAATACGAGAGAAGCACTCAAGTTGAGGCAACTGGTCTTGACTTCTGTCTACCAAGATAGTAGTCCCAATATATACAATGGCAAAGAGCAATCAGTGTAACATGCAAAATGATAAAAATCACTTATCGCTCGGACAAATTTACTGCTAGTAAATTAACAGTGAAACCTGGGAACAGAAAGCATTTGAAAGAGAACAAGAGAGACGGAGCTTACAGATCTATCTGTTCTTGGAGTATCTGTGGGAGCAAAGCCATAATCCTTGGCATTAACCTCAATATTGAAACTCTCACGTGATACACCTGCGACATCTTAAAAAGCTTGAGCTTGCTGAAAAGATACTTAAAACCAGCTACCTCATTGTCTATTTTCTTTAGAATGGGTATGTTGTTTTTATGTACTTGGAGAAGCAGGAATTTAGCAACTCAACATAGAAAGTAAGGGATAAAATCAGTGACAGTATGGTAAACACGTACCATCAACTGCACAAGCAGGTGCCAAATTCACTGAACGAAACCCTGAGCAATAATTCACAGGAAATCCTTTTGATGCATTTGCTGTCCGCAACCTCGTCGTCATTGAAAGTGCACCTTCCTCACCCTAAAGATGCAAACATCTACAGAGATTATGTATGACTCGCGAAATCAATGTTGCCACTGGTTTTCTCAGGTCGGAAATGATAATAAACAGCAGAGGGAACCATCCCCATCGCCCCACCCAACCCAAAAAGAAATCTTCTTTCAGGTCATGAAGTACCTTTACAACCAAACCAGCATGCACACCCCTTCTCCTCATAAGCATTAACAATGGTTCTTCATAACCTTCGTGATAGAAACCAGCAACAATTGCTTCCTTCCCCCGAGCCTGAAGAGAAAACAGAACAATTCAACTAAAGATCAATTTGTCCAAGCTGCAAGGAGCTTCTGCATTTATAAATACAAATTGGAGATAAGAAAAAGCCATCTAAGAGCCTATAACTTCTTTCTAAAGAACCTACATGTGATTGAGAGTCGATTGAATTAATTCATGACCAGTTTCAAGCTAAGCTCATAAGTAAGCAGAAAAAGATAATAACATACTTGAAATTTAGAAATTTAAATACGTAGGCTTAAATGCATTTTTTGTATTTGGTACAAAAGAAACAAACAGTAACACGACCTACCCGCACAATTTGTTGAACTTTCTCAGCTGTCGCCAGTGGTGGGCGTTTCTTTATATGTTCCCTTAACCCTATCAATGAGTATCTGCAAAGACAATAACATATGGACCATCATGTTAGCTGCTTCTTATTATCATGGAAGTTTAACACAGGTTACATTCATAAAGCAATGATCTAAGGAACAATTTCTTTCTACAAGTGAGATGTGCCTTAAATGGACATATATATATGAATACAGACGAAGTACTGACTAGCTGCTTAACCTTTGGGGTCAGCCAATTAGTGGCAAGTAATTTTGCAAAAAAGTTGAAACTTTTAGCCCCTAGTGATAAGTGTAACATATTATCCATTTCAAAAAAAAAAAAAAATGCAGAAGCCATTTCGAAAAAAATAAAAGCATAACTTATGCATAAATATTTTAAATATATAGTTTTATTTCTTAATTTTTACACGATATTCAGGAATGGAGTAACTGATCAAAGCCTAGCTAGATATCAGAATTTAGTGTTTTATACTTGCAGTCTTGCACTAAAAAGAAACTGCCTTCCCCCCAAACAAACAAATATATAAGAGCATGGTAAAAGTACTCAAATAGAAGACATAATGATATCTCACATATATTTTAAGTAAGCCAAGGAAAGTCAAAAGTGAAGAAGAGACTCAACGGTAGGGGCCACGTTCAGATGGGAAACTGAAATATTAAGAACTTGGAGGAAGGGAGGAGTCCAACATATGGAAAGGCTTTGGAACAGCCATACAGAATATCTCAAACCATCAGATTTTATGAACCTAGAACTTTAAAAAGCCTTCAGAATTGGGAAGACCAGATTGCAGATTCTATAGCAGAAATATATCCTTTCTATTTTCAACTGCTAGGACAGTTGCTGGGAAGTTAATTGAGGCATTATCTTTCCCTTTAGGACGTGCAAGCAAAAAATAAAAGGAAAAAAACAAAAATAAAGAGAGAATGATTTGGTTTCTGAAAGGTTGGATCTACGTACAAAGATGGGCGAGCTTCTCGTTGACTTATATAAGCAAAACCAACTTCATCATCCTGAATACAATTTGGATTACTAATAAACTGCAACAGTTTATGCAAGTTTAATGCAAAAAAGGTATCAAGAGACGGGAAAATCATGGACCTCAAGAAGCTTTTTAGCTTGAGAGGGGGTTAAGTGTGTGTTTGCTCCCATAAACATCAGCATTTGTTCTTCAGTGATGCCTCCCTGGAATAAGAAAATGAGGTTTGGTTAAACCACTTGCTTCAAAAAAAAAATTGAACGGATGTAGAAATATATCTGCTATTATTGGATCATAACATTTTCTGCAAACTCAAATTGTCATTTAAAGGCGACTATTTGAGGACAGCTTCTTGCAGCAGGTGCCTCTTCAAGTAAATATTTCCTTGCATATTCATGTTTTCTACTAGTAAAATCTTTTCAGTATATATATCAGACATAAATTTTAGAAATAGATATTAAGTAATGGACATCTTATTACAGCATATAGGCACATATGACACCTTTGGTGGCATCCAATCCACTCCATGGAGCAAGCAAGATTCACCATAGCAGGATCTAACAGCAGCAACAAACAGTGTACTCCTGAAGTAGCGGGTATTTCCATCATAAGGCTCACCGTAGTGAGTCAATGAGTTTACATCAGCAACTGGTGCAGGGCCTGAAAGGGATGATGACAAGATTAAAGCAGATAATAAAGAAATGTCATTTAGCAGCAGGCACATAACAAGCAACAACCAATTCTTTTTAGACAAAAGGAAATAGTATATTACCAAGTTCATTATCAAATGCAAGGCAGTAGGCTTTCAGCTCACGGTCTGTTTCCCGATTCATTCGTTGGCCTATCATAAATGCAGAAAACAGTGACTCACTTACACTAGATGATTCCATTTCTCCTACTTTCAACGGAAGGACATCTTTTAGAACACCCTGAACTTCCTCATATCCAAGATGACCCCCAGCCAAAACTTCCCTAAGGGCACCAACGAGTCTCATCTCCGCAGTACCATTACCAACGAATTGAGGGCCTATTGAACTGCCAACTCCCATTATCGAGCCTTCTGGATCAGCAATAAATATGGTATCCTGGGGAAGCACTCGAATCAATTGCGGCCAATAATGGTTCATTGCACGCCTTTCCCCTTCACTCCATTGGGTTGGCTCTGGGAAGGCATTTGCACGAATGGTCATTGCAGAAAAAAATGCCCCAAGTTGTGCTTTTGATACTGGTTCTTCATCTTTGAGCTCTCCCTTTGCTGAAATCAAACATTATGCTACTAAGTAACTTCAGTAGTCATCAAGAAGTCTTACACAGATATATCCATTTTAATGGCAAAGCAAGTTTTACTCTGGGATATGGGAATTCATGCCTCAATAATTTTTGTGGTTTTGCTTCATTTAAATTACTTTGACCTTGTCAATTTTATCTTCTGAAGGTATACTTGCCGTGATTTAAATCAAGCAACATCGGCATGCAGATTTCTGGAAGAGGGGCCAAAATCAGGACACCAGATGTACTAACCATCGATAACTATGAGCTACAATACGAACCTGAATTATTTGAAACATACTTAGTTGGGATTACTTAGACTGTTTCTACTTACCATATCTTTTTTTCTTTTACCTGTTTCTTTTCCCTCCTTTATCGCCTTGAGAGTGGTAGATCAAATATCAACTATACAATCTCAAACTAGTTGGAGCCAGCTATCTGAATGCTCTATGTCCATAGGTCTATCATTCTAATGCCAAGATTTATAGGGTTCTCCATCCATGGGTGATACATAGCAGTCAAAGAATTAGAGTAACAACTTTAGAAACCAACATTCAAATCTCAACAAAGGTGAAACTGGGTAAATCTTTAGCATCTGTCACAGCTTTAATGGGTAGAGTTACCCAATACTTATACTGGCGGAAGGTGACAACTACTAATGTTGGGCCTATTTGTGTAAGTTTCGATATTAATTTACTTGCATTTTTACCGCTTTTTCAATTATGGGGTTTATACTAATTGTTTGATATATGGTGAATTAGGATAATTATATAATTAAGTGGAAGAGATTTACTAAAAGAATTGAAAGATAAATGCATGAAGCTTGGAAAGCAAGAGTTACAAAGCCTAGGACTACCAAAAAAAAGAGGAGCAATCATTGAAGTCAAAGAATACACGATCCAAGACATTAAAGCAGCAAATGGAACGAACTGGAGCCGCATTTTGGGCGAGCGACGCACACCTGTAGTGTGCAGTAAAAGGAGTTTTGGAGCCTAGACTTAGGCACGCGACGGACGCCTAAGTACACACGCACAGTGAAACCCTAACTTTGGTTGGACTTGGTTAAAATCACTTAAGACTTTTCCTACACCTATAAATAGACCTTAAACTTGTTTTTGAGGGGGTGTTTGGCCTTTGTGAAGGAGAAACACGGCTACAACACTTTGGAGCCAGGATTCAATAGAGTTTTTCTTTCGTTTATCTTTTCTTTATAGGATGTTTTTCAAACATTCGTATGATTAATTAGATGATTATGAGTAACTAATTTCTTAGTCCTAGGGTTATGGGTGCTACATGAATGTTGATGTTTGACGTCTCAATTGATTATATAGATTTATCGTATTGGTGTGTTTATTCAATCCCGAGCTTATTGTTTAATTGTCTGGCCAACTATTGAATACTATCTGTGTATCTATGATTGAACTCGGGAGACGGGAGAGGGAATTTTAGATTGCAAATAGAATTGAATAGAGCAAGTTTCTAAACCTGGGCCTCGAGGAATGGATTCCTGGTTAGGATAGAAGTCTACCTAATAGTCTTGCTTGGTCGTTATACAGGAATTATTAATCCGTTCTTGTTAATTTTAATCAATAGGAATGTAGGCGTTAGGTTAACTTGAATAGGCGAGTAAGAACTCGAAAGATTCTTACGAGCAATATTAACCTTGTCAACCAATGAACTAGATAATTCCGTTAGTCAATTTAAACAAATAACTCAACAAGATTGTTGGCTAGCCTATAACCGTGGAATACTCACTCTTATTGATTTCTACACTAAGTTCCTTTACAAAAAAAAATTATTGCCCTAAATTGCTCATATGTTTTGTTCGATCCTTTATTTTATTTATTTGTTTTACAATTCTTGCAGTAGTTTAATTAATTACCATTACTTTTGGACATAGCGCTTGAATAAATAATTCATTTTATGCATTTGACCCCAAAAACTACCTGGTGGAATAGTGAGGTACAAGCAAGCAGACCCGTAGACTATATATAATGTGTGTACAAATATATGTATGTGTTTCGTGCACATGTATGTTCTTAGATTCTCTAAAACCAGCATTTTATGCAATCTCACTCTTGTCTTTACATGTACATATAAATCTCCAACCAAAGTAACCACCAAACATCAGACCTAAAATAAAGTATAACACAAACAACTAAGCAATAATCTTGACCAATTTGATCATATATATGGTTCCTTTGAGTGTTCTTAGCTAAGTCTTTTAGAGCAGTATACCAGGAAATATAAGACTTCTCTTGTTTCTGTAATATCACACTATACTGAATATACAAACAAGTTCTACTCAAAAGGAAATGAGAAAGGTAAAACAACGAGCTTAAATTCTAATTTTCTGATGGTGCAAAAAGTACCTATTTAGATGAGGTCATTTAAAAGCTAATTTGGATATGTAACGACCAAACTGGTCATTTTGAGTGAGTTCTAGAACCCCATTCCCTTATTTGAGATTTCTCGTAGGTTCATTTGATGATTTATGACTTGCGAGGAGGAGTGGTTGAGGTCCCAAGAGGTTCAGGAGTTTGGAACACTTGGCTCATGACTAGAGGCTTTAACAGTCAATATTTTGGGTGAACCGGCTCGCATTGGTAATTTGAAGGTTCTGATAGGTTTGTATGATAATTTGGACTTGTACATATATTTGGATCGGGTATCGGGTGGGTCGGAAGAATTCGGCACTTTTGGTTAAAAGTTGGCAATTTGAAGAACTTCAGAGTTCATAAGTTTGACTTGGGGTTGATTTTTGTGTTATTGCGTTTCGTTTGTGTTTTGAGCCTTTCGAAAAGTCCATATAGGTTATTGGATTTGCTGGGATGGTTGAGAGGTGACCCGAAGGGGTCGAGAGTGATTCGGGCCTATTTTGTGAAGTTTGAAGCTTGAAAAACTTAAGAAAGTTCATATCTGGTTTGGAGCTTGATTCTTAGTTGCAATGTTTCGAGATGTGTTTTGAGCCCTTGGACAAGCTTTTGTAGAGAGTATACGAACTTGTTGGGATGATTGGACGGGATCCCGAGGGGCTCGGGTGTGTTTCGGGATCTCGGGGGAGCTAAAGGGCAAAGCTAGAAAAAAGTTACAGGTTTGCAGACCTACCACGGCGCACCTCACGACGCGGTAGGCCAAATTTTGCCGTAGAATTCTACAGCCCTTCGTATAAATAGCCCCATTTCGTGTTTTAGGCATATTTTTCTAGTTGTTAGAGCTTGTGGAACTCGGTTTTGGAAGGTTTTGGCCTAGAGATTATCTACAAGGTTGGCGTAAGTGATTCTAACCTAAGTATATGATTTTTACATGAATCTATTGCTATATTTAACATCAAAACATGTGATTGAACAAGAGAAATTGGAGTTGTCCAAAAGTTGGAAAAGTGTATTTTAAGGTTTTGAGTGCCGATTTGGACTCGGATTTGGAAACTAATCACATATTTGGACATGTGGGGTTATGCGTCGATGGATCTGACCTTAAAATCGGGGTTTGACCATGTGGACCCGGGTTTACTTTTTTGTTGACTTTTAAAATTTGATTAAAGATTGAAGTTTTATTGTCTGGAGTTAGTTTTTATACCTATATTTTGACCTCGTTAAGTATTATTTGGCTAGATTTGGAGAGTTTGGAGGCCAAGGATAGAGAAAAGGTATTATGGAAGGTTGAGGCTTATTTCGGATAAGGTAAGTATCCTAGCTAATTTTGATTTGACGAAATTTTCCTAAAATGGACTTGTATGATAAATACTATGTGTTTGGGGGTGACATATATACGAGGTGACGAGCGCATATGCCGGTGCCAAGGTTATACCATGTTTGGGCCTTAGGGTAGATTTAGGCTTCTTTGTGCCTTATACGAGATATATTTCTTCTTGTTTTATGCCTTAATTGTTGTATGACTGATTGAGCAACTTTATTTATGATAGAGATTATGTCTAGCCTTTTGATGCTTCATTTGGACATGATGGGCTATTTGGCATGTTGAATTACATGTTGTAGTTGTAGTCTAAGTTGCTCCGACATGGCAGTTGTGCCGCACCCGTGTCGACACAACACCAGTATGGGTATGGGTATGGGATCCGTACCGGAACTGGTAAAAATTTTTTGGATACTTTGACCACGACAGACGAAAAAATTTGAGACGAGATATCGCTAGGGTAAATTTGAAGAAAATAGCATATCTTATCTAGGAAATCAACCCTTATCTACAACTTGAGAATAAAGAAGAAATCCACACTTTACAAGCTACACGTAAGTATTCCACGAAATTTCTCATAATTTTTATATTTTTGAATTTTTAGCTGGATCTCGCACTCGTATCCGTACTAGGATCCGTAAGAATCGACCTCTAGATCCGCACCCGTGTCCAAGCAACTTAAGTGGTAGTCATACTTATACACATGCATATATCTCTGCATGCTGATTTCTCTGTCTATATGCAATATACATGTGTATTTCTTGTTCATATGCATATATCCGTACATATGATTACTCTGCTATGGACAGATGTTGGCACGATCGGACATTCCATGCAGTTATTACGATTTGGCACGATGTACATTCCATACGGTTTTATGACTAATTTCTGAGATATTAATGATTCATTATGGAGCTATAATGCTCGAGCGAATGGAATTGGAGTCATGTGATTATCCATGTTATTTTGGGCAATATGTGAGCAGTGATATTGGATACCGAGGAGGTGTCGGGCACCTAGGAGGTGTTGGTTAAAGTAGAGTTGAGTTTTTATCACGCATAGACATTTTAACTCACGTAGAGGCATGCATTCACATGCTATTTAGTGCATACCATCCTTATATACGGATTCGGTATGTTTAATACTTGTTCCTTGACAGGGCCACCTTGCTATTTATATCCGTGGTTTCTTGGTTGTTTTCTCCATTTACGATATATTTTTATGAGTTTAACAGGTTAACTATGTATATTTCGTGTAAACCTCGCCACTACTTCATTGGGGTTAGACTTGCTACTTACTGAGTGTGCGTTAATTATGTATTGATACTACAATTCTGCACATTTCTGTATAGATCTTGGTATTGGTCCTAGCGGCATCCAGGAGGGTGCTTAGTTGATTAGCTTTGGAGACTTCGTGGTGAGCTGCTATGCTGGATTTGCAGCTTATGGAATCCCTTTCTTATCTATCCAAATGTTTATTTTGTTCTAGACAACATTTTATATTTGAGACCTAGTTGTACTCTTTTTAGTAGCTCATAATTCTGTACTACCGGTTTTTTTGGGAGATTGACGTTTTTTTGGGAGATTGACGTAGTATTTTTCGCATTTAGTTGATGTTGTCATACTTATATATGTTTTATCTATATCATGACAGCTGATTATCCTTTATTTTTGTCTTACTTTGATTGATTATAAGTGTTGGCTTAACTAACGGGTTACATTAAGTGTCATCACGACGGGGTTTTGGGTCGTGATAGGATAGTTCTCAATAGCAATGATTCATGACCCAGAAAAAATGATAAGTAATAATTATACTGATGGATGGTGTAAAAAGAATTCTTTATCTGTTTATATAGCGTAAATCCTAAAACATGTCACAGTACCAGAAAAACAAAAGAAATGAATAAAAATTAGAGAGACAAAGTCAAATCAGAATAACCTGATTTCAAAATGGTGTCCAAAACCTTGAAGGCCTGTTCCTCAGTGAGAGGCCTGGTTTGAGTTGGCCCAGTACAAACTTTGGTTTGAGCTTCCAGTACAGTCTGATTGGGCTTTGGTAACTCAGAATTCCGATACGAAGTTGACAAAGCCGGGTTCTTAGTATCGGGTTCTTGTTCATCAATCGATGCAGAATTCAATACAGCATTAATGGCCGAATAACTGCTTTTCCCGACCCAATAGTCGACGCGTTTAATGGGAATTCGAACGGAAGTTTGAGGATTCAAAAAAGGTCTGGTTTTTGTAATTGGTACTGGAGATATCAATGGGTCTGGATATAACAAAGCTTTCATAGCTATATTCCTTTGTTCTGGCAACTATAATAAAGCTCTGATTTTTGTGAGTTGCTGGGTTTTACGAGTAGATGAGATCGCCGGAAGTCGGAACACATCAATTACTCGGTGGGAAAGTGCGTAAGGACGGTGACCGTTTACCTCGGCACGATAATGAATAAGGAATATATATATATACGCACAAACACAGAATATTACAACGATGTTGCAAGTTGTCTTAGAAAATTGCTACCTTTCTTGTTCAGCTCTCCTTTCCTTTCTTTTTTATTTCTTTAATATAACTCACTTTGAACATAGCTCGATTTGCAACTTGCATTCTTAAAATATAATTATTTGTTTTACTCTTACAATTATTTAGACTTTTAATGCATTTGGCATGTCAACTAATAAGCAAAAATTTTGTAAATAGACATTTTTACGGTTGGTCAATCACATTTAGTCACATATTTAAAAATCATTTAGCCAGTAGATTCAGACGTATGTGACAAAAATACCCTCCTATATTTATAAAAGTTACGCGACATAACCTCATACCTCCTTCTACAGAAATTCGCGCCTCCTTTTGCAGGTTCAAGTAAGCTCTCACGATTATTCTTCTCGTGATTATTCTTTTTATATAGGTGCGGACTTGCGTACGACATCACTTGCCTAACAGCTGCCAAAAGCGGAAGCTTCAATGTTGACGGGCTTATTGTCTCCTTTCTTATCTTAAAAAAAGGGAAAATAAGAGATTCTTCATTTCTTCTGGGGTTAATCTTTAATTTTTCTCATTTCTCATTGAAATCGTAACTGAAAATATGTTGGATTGTTGGATATTATGCTGAATTTCATATGAAAATCCTTTAGTTTCCAGCAATTTATTCTGTGATTGATTGTGTAATACATAAAAGGCAAAATGGCCTTCTGGCCACTCAAACATGCACCTGTTTTTCAACCCGGCGAAGAAACTTACATGTTTCCCATTTGAACACCTCAACTTGATAAAAGTACAAAAAATAGGCACCTCAAACGAGCGCGTACCTCAATCGCTATGACATAATTGACACATCGTGTTATTCACCTATTATTGTTTGACACGTATAATTTGTGGGTCCTAATATTTATTTAACCATTTTATAAAAAATTCTAGGGAAAAAGATATGTCTTTTCTTTTTTGGGTGGCCACCAGCATCTTTCACCATGAACACCTCCTTCTTCCACTCTAAACCTCCCAAATCAACTAGAAAAATCATGAAAATTCATCAATAGGAGTGACCAAAGGCCTTGCATGAGTATTTCCATAATTTCTTCACCATTCTTCTTCAATTTTATCATCGTCAATATCACTATTCCAGTTGGTATCTCGCCGGAAATTTCTGCAAAGTGTTGCCAGCCCTCTGATTCCTTCTCATTTAGCAAAAAATTAATTTTTTTGTTATATTTCCTTTGGAGACAGATCCCAAATCCCTTGAAATTGGATTAGCAATTGTCTGAAGTTTTGTCGGCACCAGCAAACTTGCCGGAGTGGTTTGTAGGCTTGGGCAAATTTTAAACCTTATTTACCCATCAAAAAGAAAAATGAAAAAAATCCCCAAGATGGCTATTCCGACCAACCCATATACTTCTTTCCTCAATTTTGCATTATTCGGCGTCCTTATTCCGCCTGTCTGTTCTGATGATCTATTTGCATCTTATTGCAAAAATGTGCTCTAGATACTAATGGTTGAAAGTGGTGTTTGGGATGGCAGTGATGAAAGTGGTGGTGGTGATATTTTTTAAGGTGGTTTTTGAGTAAGATGAAGGGGGAAGAGGAAAAATTTGGAGAAAAGGAATTAAGAAGATGATGAAATGAAGGAGAATGGCTGCAGAAGAAAGAGGGACGAGAAAAGAGAAAGGGGAGGGTCCCAAAGTAGCTGGAAAGGAGCTTTTTCCTCCTTTTATTTTTTATTTTTTGCTTTTCCTTCTTTTATTTATTGTTTATAATTTTAGTAAAAAAAATCTGATATTCATTATATACACGCGCTTCATACGTGTGATTAGCACGCATTTTTGCTATGTCAGCTACATTGTTTCCACATAAGCATAGTAAACGATCAAAGAGGTTTAAAATTGTGCAGATGAATGAGTTGAGGTGTTAAAATGGGAAACACGTAAGTTCCTTTACCGGGCTGAAAAATGGGTGCAAATTTAAGTAACCCGGAGGCCATTTTGCCTATATAAAATGTAATTTAATTTTCAGTACTTTATGTTATGATTAAACACGTAAATGTTTGTTTGATTAAAAAAGAACACAGTTAAAGGCATGTCGATATCATGTATGAATTGCAAAACAAAATACTGGAATTTCATATGACAACATATTGAACACCAATATTTTATACTAGAGCATATGTTAAAACTTCAAAATACCAATATAATATACTGGACCTTTCTTAATTCATATGTAAAAGCTATAAATTTTCAGCATATAATACTGGAAGTATCTTTGATTCTTACTAGAAAAATACATCTGAATGCCTAATCTTCCCCGAATGTCCTGAATAAAATGTTAGATACTAAGAATGAATTATTTGTGAACATTAAATGCAGGATGTCATTAAATAGCAAAATATTTGATGAATTTAATACTAGAATTTCATATGAAATAGTTTGAAAACTAGTATTTTATACTGGAGCATATGTTAAAAGTTCAAAACACCAGTATATTACACTGGATCTTACTGAATTCATATGTAAAATCTTCAAACCTCCAGTATATAATTGTAAAGACTCGAATGGTCATTTTGTGTATATGATCCTCGATTCCCCTTTTTATGCTTCACACATGTGTATTTATATTTTTATGACTTGCAGGGTTGGTTAGTTTCGCTCCAAGAAGGTTTCAGGTTGATTTGGACCCTTTGGTTCTTGGTTTAGAAGTCTAAGTTAGAAATATTGATCAAAGTTCGAATTTTATGAAAAATGACTCCTGAACAGTATTTTGATGGCTTCGATAGGTTCGTATAGTGATTTGGACTTGGGCGTATGCCCGGAATTAAATTCGGAGGTCCGTAGGTTGATTTGTGTTGTTTTGCTGAAAATTGGCCATTAGAGGTTTAGAAGTCTTTTCCAAGTTTGACCATAGGTCTACTTTTGACTATCGAGTTCGAAATTTTTTTTGGGACTTGGAATAGATCCGTTATGCTATTTGGAAATTGTCTGCGAAATTTGGTGTCATTTGGAGTTGATTTGATAGGATTCGGACGCTTGGTCGCAATTCTAGAGGTTTTTAACTTTTCTTTGAAATTCATGCATTTTTATGTCCGATTTGTAGTTCTAGATGTTATTTTGTATTTTGATCATGCGAGCGAGTTCGTATGATGTTTTTAGACTTGTGCAGATATTTGGTTAGGAGCCCCGAGGGCTCAGGCGGAGTTTCAGACGTGTTTTAAAAAGATTTGGACTGAAAACAGGTTGCTGGTGTCTCTACACAATTACGAACACCAGCCTCGCAATTGTGAAGTGAGTAGGTGAAGGTCAGGTATTGCAATTGCGATGCCTCTCGCAATTGCGAAGTGTATGACATTCTGGGTAGGTTCGCATTTGCGGCAATAGTCGCATTTGCGAAGTGTGACGACCCAACCCGTCGTCACGTGTGTTACCACCCCGTTTTCCCCATTTTCTGCTGATTTATGCTTCATTATCAGTGTTGGGTGTGAACGAGTTGATTTGGATTGATTTTAGTAGGAAATGAGACACTTAGTCTCTTTAAGGAAGGTTTGTTTTGAAAAAGTCAACCGGACGTTAACTTACGTGTTAGAGGGCTCGGATATGAATTCCGATGATTTGTTTAGCTTCGGGGGATGATTTGTGACTTAGGAGTGTGATCGGAAGTAATTTTGGAGGTCCGGTGTAGAATTAGGCTTGAATTGGCGAAGTTAGTATTTTGGCGAATTCCGGTTGATAGGTGAGAATTTGATCCGAGGGTCGGAATGGAATTCCGAGAGTTGCAGTAGCTTCGTTAGGTGATTTGGGATGTGTGTGCAAAATTTCAGTTGATTCGGAGGTGTTTTGGTCGGGTTTTTGATCGAATGCAAGTTTCGGAAGATTTGGATGAACTTAGGCTTGAATTTGATGTAATTTGATGGTTTAGGTGTTATTTGTGGTGTTTTGATGATTCGAGCAAGTTTGAATAAGGTGTTGGATCATGTTTGTGTTTTTGGTTGAGGTCCCGGGGGCCTCGGGGTGATTTCGGATGGCTAACGGAAAGTTTTGGCTTGTAAAACTTAAGAATTTGCTGCTGCTTCTGGTATTTTCGCTCCTGCGGAAATGGGACCGCAGAAGCGGTACCGCAGGAGCGGGTGGAGAGTCGCAGAAGCAGGGAGAACCGCAGGTGCGGATTTGGTGACCGCATCTGCGGAGTCGCAGGTGCGACAGCATGACCGCATATGCGGGTTTTGGAGACTTAATGAGATCCGCAAATGCGGAGCTTAGTTCGCAGAAGCGGAAGCCGCAGGTGCGTGTTTCAGACGTAGAAGCAGAAATATCCGCAGAAGCGGTACAATCACCGCAGAAGCGGAAATCGCAGATGCGGCTAAGGAGTCGCAGATGCGGAAATAACTGGTCAGTGAAGTTTTATTTCATCTTCGCGAAATTTCGTAAGGGTTCATAATTTTCACTTCGGACTTGGAGAATTTGGGCGAGTTGGAAGAGAGAAATCAAGGGACTTTATTGAGGTAAGAATTTCTGAGTCTAAAACACGATTTTATGGTACAAATACATGAATTAAGACTGAAAAATTAAGGAATCAAATGTCAAAAATGGTGATTAGGGTTTGAAACTTAAGAGAGTTAAAATGGGGATTTGAGGGGTCATTTGGACTCCGATTTTGGTGTTCTTTATATGTATAGACTCGTGGCGAGATAAGGAATCCGTTGATGGTAAATTTTCTGATTTTCGAGAAGTGGGCCCGGGACTCGGGTTTTTGCTAATTTCGAGATTTTAGCTATTTTTCGATTGTTTTCGATTGGGTATTGTCCCATTGGCATATTGTGATGTATTCGTTGTGGTTTTGATCAGATTCGGTACCCGAGGAGGTCAATTCGAAAGGCAAGGGCATAGCGAGCTAGGACTTTGGCTGGCTTGAGGTGAGTAATAGATGTAAATGCTGTTCTGAGGGTTTGAAACCCCGTGTTTGCACATCGTAGTGCTATATTGAGGTGACTTGCACGCCGGGTAGCGAGCGTGGGGTAGAGCACCGTTGGGGATTGTGACTTGGTCAGTCCCGGT